CAGGGATGAGAATTGGGTCTTCCCTTGACCATTAAATCAGAGAGACTTCACATGAAGCGCCTCCTTCCAGGAAATGACCGCTAGCTAACCACAACCACCTGTCCAAAGGCCATCACCAAGTTATTAAAACTACCTGGCAAAGAGATGCACACAGAGTCTCCAATCAGGGTGCTGGGGACTATCTTCAAAGGTTTCCTCATTTTCCCAGTTGTGTTCTAGGGGTCCTGAACCAGGTAACCCAGTGAGAGTAGCTGAAAGGGCTTACACTCCCCATCCATTCCTCTACTTGGCAATACTGACATTTGGGGCCTGACCTCTACCCTCGGGGCCAGTTGCACCCCAACCTTCCAGATGAGACAACCCAAAATGTCTGCAGACATTGCCTAATGTCTCCTAGGAGTGCAGAACCACTGTGGATGAGAACCACTTATTTAGACACCAGGAAATGACAAAACAATGGCCTCACCCCAGCTGTATTTCCTCTGGTCAATACCTTACAGATGAAAATCAGCACAAACCCTGCATTTTGAAAACCGTAAGACTTGAAGGTTAACCTCAGGAGCAGCGGATAGTGAAAGTGCAGAGTCTTGGGCTCTGGGATCAACTTTTCTGAGCACTAATAGGGTCCAGGAAACTATTTTTTTCCACAAGTTCCCCACTTGTGAAAGTTTAAGAAGTAACCCCCCCAACTTTGTTGAGGTAGAATCGACAAATAAAAATGCATATATTTAAAGTATACAACATGAGTTGAAATTCATATACATTGTGAAATGATCACCACAATCAAGCTAATTAACACACCCATCATTTTGCTTACTTACAGTTTGTTTTTTTTTTTTTTTTTGCATGTAGTGAGAACACTACTGTTTTAGCAAATTCCGAGTATATAGTAGCTTGTGTGGCAGCTGACACACTGGTTCTGAAGTCAGACCTAAGTGTATAATACAGTGTTATTTACTGTCATCACCATGCTCAGAGTTTATTCATTTTTATAACTGACCCTTTGACCAGTATCTCCCCATTCCCCCCAACTCCCAGGCCCTGCTAATCACCATTCTACTCTGTTCATAATAGTTTGATTTTAGACTCCACATGTAAGTGAGATGATACAATATTTGTCTATCTGTGTCTGACTTATTTCACCTAGCACGATGTCCTCCATACCCATCCATATTGTAAATGGCTGGATATCCTTCTTTGTAGTTAAATAATATTTGGGGGGGGACATTTTCTCTATCCATTCATCTGTTGATGGGCAATTAGGCTGCTTCCACGTCTTGGCTACTGTTACTAATGCTGCAATGAACATGGAGTGTAGACATCTTTTCAATATGCTTAATTCCTTTTCTTTGACTGAAGACCACTATGGAATTACTGGATCATATGGTAGTTTCTATTTTTAATCTTTTGAGGAAACTCTATAATGTTTTCCATAATGGCTGTACCAATTTACATTCCCACCAGCAGTGCACAAAGGTGTTTTTTTCTTTTTCTTTCTTTGGCTTGCAACGTTTTGTTTTTCACTAGCTATATGCCATTTATATGTAGACTGTTCCATGTTCTCTTCATTCCAATCCTGGGCTGAATGAATAGCCCGTAACTGTCCATTCTTGTCTAGATCATCATTGGGACCTAGTTTGTTCTAGGATCTGGGTTATTCTTTCTGTCCCAACTGACATCTGGATTGAACAAAGCCAGAGGCATGATGTACAGCACAGCTCCAGTCCCTCCAGCTTCAACAAATACAAAGTGGGGATCAAGTTAAGAAGCTTCTTGGCCTGACCAAGTATAAGGTAAATGATTGTCAGGCTTTTCTGCCCCCCATCCATTAGGATTGATGATGGATCCCTGTGGTCCTGCATGCATGCCTGATGGCGGGCACCTGGTCTAGAGTGTGGGCCAATATAGGTGGGTTCACCTGGGCTGAGATGGGGCTTATAAGGGTAACATCAAGGAATGGAATATGAGGGAACAGACCAGGAGGAACAAGCGAGAGAGGAATGGAACCAGCAGAAGAAAGAGAACGAGACCATGAGAGAATGCCAGAGAGCCCAGAAAGAGCATGGTTTCAGGAGAGGCCTTGGGCTAGCATGGAGAAAACAGTGGGGAAGTTCAACTACAAGGAGGACTCCAGGGTCGGGTGAGGGGCTTCCAGGAACAGGAACTACATTTGCCATGACATGTTTGTTATGTTTCCTAAGTTAAGGAAAGGATAGAGTGGGTTGATGAAAACCCCTCTTCATACTCTGAGTTAGCGGGGAATTTAAAGTGCTCCCATTTTATAGAAGAAACCATTCGGAGACTTCCAGATTAGTGGAAAAGTATAATAAGGACAGAGAAAAATTTTTTTTAAAGATTTATTTATACACACAGAACTGGGGTGTAAGTCAGGGGTGTAGGGGGGTGAGAGGATTCACCAGTGAGAGTGGGGAGCAGTATAGGTGGATCTACTGAAATACACTGCTGAGGGGAGCAGCGGGTCAGGCAAGAGAGGTCTGCTGCACCATCTGACCAAATGGGGATCAAACTCGTGCTGCAGTAGCTGGTGATAGTTTGATAGTGCTGTCTTTAACCCCTGTGCCAGCAGGGAGGCCCAGGACAGAGAAATTAAAAACAAAAAAACAATGCCTTGCTCCTTTAACTAACTACTAGGTGTTAGTAAACTGATTTTTGCCTCCCTAACTTTGCTTCTAGTATTACTGTTGCCTAGTAATCTCTTCTTCCTGATTCCCCCGCACAATATTAAGGTCTCAACTCAAATAGTACCTCCTCTGAGAAGCCCTCCCCAATCATACTTTATTCTCTTTCTTCCTTCAATAGTACTTACTCACTTACCACTTTTTAACATTGTATTACATATTTTTTATAGACTGTCTCCCCAACTAGAATGTAAGATTTCTGATGGCAGGAATAAGAGTGCTCAATCTATATTTTGAATGGTTGGAATTTTTTGCAACGAGTTTAAGAAATAAAATGTAGTTACCAGAAAATATTCTCATCTTAAACGTGGAAATTAATGGCTTTTACTAAATCTACCAAATTAGGCAACTATCACCACAATCCAGTTTTAGAATATTTCAATCACACCAATAAAAGCATTCATGCCTACTTCCTTTTAATTCCCATCCATAGCTCCCATCCCAGGCAACCACTAATCTAGATTCTGTCTCCATAGATTTGTCTTTTATGGGAATTTCATTTAATGGAACCATATAACGTTACCTTTCATGACTGACTTCCTTCACTTAACAGAATTCTTTTCCGTTTCTTTCATGTTAGTGTGCATATGGGGTATTTTGTACCTTGTTATTGCTGAGGCAATCATCTTCCATTGTATGGATGTCACATTTTATTTATCCATTCACAAATTGATGCCCATTTCTGTTATTTACCTCTTGGAGCTATTATGAAAAAGCCTTCTATGAGTGTTTGCAGTCAAGACTTCACGTGGAGCTGTCTTCTCACCTTTCTTGGGTACATACTTGGAGTCAGACTGCTTGGGTTGTATGGTAAGTTTATGTCTGCCTTTGTAAAAAACTTCCAGCTGTTTTCCCAAAGGGTAGTCCCTGTTCACATTTGGGGTTGAGATTATAAACATACGCATTTTACAGATGATGAAACCAATTGAGACTTGCCTGGTAAAGTGTCAAAAATCAACTTGGGTTAGAGATGTTGAATTTGAGACCTAAATCTGTTTTTGTTTTTTTTTTTAACTTTAGAGTATGTGTTCTTTTTTTTTTTTTTTAAAGATTTATTTATACAAGCACTGGGTACAGTCAGAAGTGCAGGAGTGTGAGAGACTTCACCAGAGCTAGAGCAGGGAACAGAACAGGCAGACTGACGAAACACACTGCTGAGGGGAGCAGCGGGCACAGCAGGAGAGGTCTGCGCGCCATGTGGAACCCTCGCCAGTGGCTGGGGATCGAACCGGCATTGCAGAGGCTGCAGGCAGCTTTGCAGCCCAGCACTCAACCACTGCGCCCCCAGGGGAGGCCCCTGTTTTCATTTTTTTTTAATACTTATTTTTTGTATGGAAGAACTAGGTTGTAGGCCAGAGATTCAGGGGGTAAGAGGATTCATCAGAGACAGAGTAGGGAGCAGAACAGGTGGATCTACTGAAATACACTGCTGAGGGGAGCAGTGGGCAAGACTGGAGAGGTTTGCTGCACCACATGCGGGTTAACAACCTGGTCAGGAAATCGAACTCAGGCCAAAACGGTGATAGTGTGAGCCCTAACCCCTGGGCCACCAGGGAGGCCCCAGGGTATGTGTTCTTAAACACACCACAAATTGCCACTAAAAATAACATCTACTCAATTTCACTTCCCCTTTTTTGATAAATTTAACTGTTTCTGGACAAGGCATTCAGGGAAAACTGATAGATATTGGATGTCTGAACTTTGGGGAAGTGGGTTTGCTTAGTAGATGAATGATGGGGAGATGGATTAGAAAATCTTTGGAGGGGCCTCCCTGGTGGCACAAGAGATTAAGTCTTAGCACTATGAAGCTATCAGCATCCATTGCAGCAAAAGTTTGATCCCAAACCAGGGAGCTGACCCATATGGTGCAGCTGACCTCTCCTGTCTCACCCACAGTTCCCCTCAGCAGTGTATTTCAGTTAGATCTGTGTGTTCTGCTCCCCACAGTCTCTGGTGAATCCTCTCACCCACCCTTCTCCTCGCACCTCTGGCCTACACCCCAGCTCTGGTATGCATAAATAGATAAATCTTTTTTAAAAAATAGAAAGAAAACTTTTGGAGACTGTTAATCAAACAATGGATCCAGATAACAACTGTCCACAGATGATCAAACCATTGGGGGACAGTCAGTTGGGGAATCTACAAGAGATGGGATCAGACTGATGGTACCTGAACCCCCTGATGGGTCTTAGCAATAAGAGAGACACAGCCAGACAGCATGTTCTCTTGGTGGAAGTTTCCAGCACCACCTATAAAGAATTGAAACCAAAAATAATAATTTTGAAACTGAGGACAGGGGAACATTTTTTATTAAAGATTTATTTATGGATACAAGAGCTGGGGTACAGGCCAAAGGTGAGAGGATTCACCAGAGACAGAGTGGGGAACAGAACAGGCAGATGGACTGAAATACACTGCTTAGGGGAGCAACGGGCGAGTCCGGAAAGGTCTGCTGCGCCATATGGATCAGCTCCCCGGCCAGAGATCGAACTCATGCTGTAGTGGCTGTGGATAGCGTCATAGATTGTGTCTTAACTCCCTGTGCAACCAGGGAGGCCCAGAGGAATATTTTAATGACATAAGGAGATATCTTTAGCCAATGTTAAGCTTTAAGAAGCTCTTAAAGAAGTGGTTTCTTCAACAAATGATTTACTAGAAGGGGAGAAAACCTTGCTAAACCTTCTAAACGAGATTAAAAAGGTTTAACCTATTTAAATCTATTGTTGAAAAGGAAAACTTGTTAAACATTACTTTGGGGGTTTATTAACTAAATGCCATGTGAGGATCTTGTTTGGATTCTGATTTGCATAAATAAAATATTAAAATGAAAACTGAGATGGGGAAATTTTCACACTGTTGGTACTACTGATGTACGATCAAAATGGTATTGTGATTAAGTTTTTTTTTAATGTTGTTATAAAAAGTAGCATATTTACCAACTAAGTGATGTGATATCCTCTGCTTTTCTTAAAAATATCCAGTGAGTAATAATTGATTCAGACAAGAAAGGATGCTAAAGGAGTGAAAGTTTGATGAGTAACAGGATATTTACAGTTTCTCAAGGGGCCAAACCACAAGACACTTAATAATTGCAAAGTGAAAACAATAACTTTGACGTGGAGACACCAGGCAGATACCAACGAGCAAAATCAACATTGCCACTGAGGGGTTCGTTGTCTCTAAGGGACGCTGAAAATGACATTGCTTCTGTGGTGCTTCTGCGAATGCGGAGCTGGACTCTGACCATGAGGAAATATCAGACGACCCAAGTTGAAGCACATGGTGAAATCTAATCAAGGTTTGTAGAATTCCTTATTTTGATAATTTTATGAGAATGGTTATATAAGAGAATGCTTAGTTCTTAGAAACACAGTAAACTAGGTAGGTAGATGGATGGGTGAATGGATAGATAGGTAGGTAGGCAGATAAACAGTTGGAAAGTGGGCAGCTAGCCTTATTCTGGATCCGTTTCCTCTGGAGCCCTTTTATATGATAAATTAATTTCTCTGACTTAAATTATTAATATTTTGTATTTTCTGCCATTTGTGGCTGAGTCTAATCTTAATAATAGTATTTTTTAATTGCAAAAACCATTAAGTGCTATGTGGATGGTACAATGTCATTTATAATAATAGTGGTAAGACTTGGAAATTTTTGTTGAAATGATGGCATAAAGCCATGAGTTGAGCTGCTCAGAGGCTGTACATACCAGGCATGGATTCCAGGGTTGTGCTGGCAGGACACTAGCCAGTGGCCACCTGAAGCTCTTTATACTTAGTTAAAATTCAATTCCTGCATCACACTAACCACATTTCAAGGGCTAAATAGGCACAGTGGGCAATACAGATGTGGCATATTCCCATGATTGTAGAAAGTTCTATTGGGCAGTGCTGCTCTCCATTATGGAGTCTAGAATGTGTCTCAGAATATGATTCAAAGATTATGCATGTTCCAATCATTGGTGGTGGTTGGTGAAAACTGTGCATTGCTGGGGTCACTCCACACCTATTCAATCAGAACCCATGAGTGGAAGAATCTGCAGGAGGTGCTCCCTCGATCCAGTAGCCTTGTTAGGGCAAAAGGAAAACGTCATCTTTTGTTCCTTAGGGTGGTCTATTCTGTTCTAGGCTCCAAGATTTGAAAGCGATCAGTAGACCAGGATGCAATGGAAGATCATATGATCATATGTGACTTCAACCAAGTACTGCCTGGGTTCAAATCCCTGCCTTCCACTCACTTGTTATGTAACCTTGGGTCAGTTACTTGACCTCTCCGTGCCTCAGCTTCTTTATCTGTCAGAAAACCTGCTCTATAGAGTTTGTATGAGAAGTCTATGAGTTCAATGGTATAAAGCTTTTAACCATGTCAGGCACATTTTAGACACCATATAGTTATTATTGTTTGTCATATCTCCAAAGGGCTGTTAATGAATGTGGGGTATGGGTGCAGCAGACCTCTCCTGTCTCAGCTGCTGCTCCCCTTAGCTGTGTATTTCAGTAAATCTGTCTATTCTGCTCCATACTCTGACTCTAGTGAATCCTCTTACCCACTGCCCCTCTGGCCTTCACCCCAGTTCTTCTATGCAAAAATAAGTAAATAAATCTTAAAAAAAAAAAAAAAAAGAATGTGGGGTATGAAAATCTGGAGATTTTCCCTGGTCTCACCATCATCCATACCCCAAAACTATTACTTCCCTTACTTTATTTTCTTCACAGCACTTAGTACTCACTGAAATGACCATCATTTGCTCTTGCTTACTTGCAGTCATTTGACATTTATTGTGCACCTATTAGCTACTGTTCTGAGCATGCACATTAGAGACCAGAAAGGGGAAGAGGATAGGATAAGTCATATGTGCACAGATGCCCAAAGAACATCACCATAGTGTGGTATTTGAATACAGACCTGAAGGGTAGAAGGGTGTCACAAGGATGTCTGCGGGAAGAGCACAGAGGTCCTGCAATGGGGATGTATCAAGAACTGTTTGAGATGCTACAAACAAAATGGTGAGTAAGACAGATGTGTTCCAGTGTTCAAGGTGGTCAGGTATTAATGGGGGCGGGGAGACAGATAAATGAATATATAATATACTGCCAGGTGAAAATCAGGTGAGGGCTAGATAGAGAGGGAAGAAGTGGTCAGGCCTGGCTTATCTCCGGAGGCGGCACTGAAGCAGAAGCCTAAAGGCAGGCATGGAGGAAGCACATGGGTATTTGGGGGAAATTCACTGACTCTGACCTGGCCTGGCCTGTACCTCCTCCTCCCCCAATCCCAGCCTGGGCTCAGGTCTCCAAACAGAGGTTGTCTCTGAATCCTTGGAGGGGAATTCCAGTGGAGCGCAGGCTCTTAGCCTATGGCTGTTCTTCCCCTCACACCTCTTAGAGTGTTTGTCCTGGTGTTGCTGGGTGGGGCTTCAGCTTGGGGGGGCCAACAGTCCCCATCAAAGCTCCAGATCTATCTTCAAAGGAACTGCCCCTGTGCCTCTGGACAAAGAAGGAGACTTACCCAAGAACTGCGCAAGAGACCCAGCTGTAGGCCATATGGACTTCTACTGGTTCTGGGTGGGGCTGGCAGGGCCTGGCTGCCCATACTCCCTCTTTCCACAGTAGAGGGTTGAGGAGCCTTTCTCCGGCCGTAGCGTAGTTAAGTGGATCTAGAGTTAGCCCACTTGTCTGGGTTCAACTCCATACAAACACTGTCCCAAATGGCTGTGTGACCCTGAACTTAACTTTTCTAAGCCCACCTCCTAAAGATTCATGCCTGGAAGTGCCTGATGAAGGTCAACCATTCCTTTGGAGGACTATCTGGGCTGGGCTTGTGCCCACAAGTCCATCTACCCAGCTCCCGGGTGGGATATGTAGTTGGAATGGCTAAAGGGCCCACTTCCTGCCAGGCTCTCTCTTTGAAGGGAAGCAAGGTCCCAGGGCCTAATTAAGTACAGGGAGGGGCCAGACAGCTGCCCTTGGGGAAAGGTCAGCATTTAGAAGCCATAGCAATCCTGGCAGGGCCACGGGAGGGAATGGAAAGGTTGGCAAAAAATTACTTAGACAGCAGATACCCTCCTCTGACCATCTTCCACTGAGCCACAGGGAGTTCATGGTGGAACTACCACCTTAAGCCGAAAAAGACAACAAGCACCAAAAAGAGAAATAGAACCGTTTATTGGCCTGAACCTGGGTCTCAGGCATGGGGGACATCTGGGGACCTCTATGAAGGAGACAACACTCAAGTGGCACCTGTCCTAAAGGTGCTCCAGCCTTTGTGTTCACAGGAAAATCATTTTGAGTTGTGAAATTTCCTTCCCCAAGGTGGGCTGCACTCAGCTCATCAATGAGGAGATAGGCCAGCAATTAAAAGGGGTCAGTGCAGGGCTGGACCCCTCTTTGGCTGAGGAGACAGACAGCATTCGTCCATTGTGGGGGAAACATGGGGAGAAGGGATCACAGACATTACACATGCACACGCACACACGCACACGCGCACAAATACACACTAACAGACACATATAAATAGATTTTTCGTACCTCAGTATCTCTTGCCACAGACTATAGCAAAGTCCTTCTGGGGCAGGTTAGGAGAAAGCACTCTACAACTGTCCCTGGCACCCTCACCCCTGTCCTCCAACTTCAGTACAACTTGAAAGGAAGCACTGTGGGCTGAAGGCTGCCCCGCCTTCAGAGATCTGGTACTATGTTCACTGGGGCTGGAAGAGGGAGTTTGGGGGGTGGTTGTTTTTGGGGGTGGGGGCTCTGAACAGCTCCCCCAAATTTTCTCAAGTTCCACCCTGCTCCCCTGGGAGGCCCAAGCCCTCTTCACCACACCCCCCAACCCCAGACCAGTTTTTCCAGCCTCTGTGGCACAAATAGTGCAATTGGCCAATGAGGTCTGACAGCCGGGATTAGGGGATTAGCCTCACCCCCACCCCCCACTGCCACCCTGTGGTTTCCTGGCATGCGGTAGAATGAGAGGAAAAGGAAGATGAAACCTAACCTAAGTGGCAGCTGATGAAATTTGGGGAAGTTGTGGATTTGGGCCCAGGAAAGAAGCCTCCAGTCCCTTGGGATATGGTTCCAGAGAAGTGGGGTGAGGTTGACTGAACATGGCGAAGGGGCAGGTGGGTCAATTCAGAGAGGGGAGCCTGGTGTGGGCACAGGGTCACACAGTTGTTGAAAGGCTGAAATCCTTTGTACCGGGTCATCAGTTGCTCCATCCTTGAGTTCCCCTTGAGTGTTGTTCCACTGTCACCCTGCTCTCCCCATGGTTCAGTTTTGAAGGGGCACAATGGTCACTCAAGGACCCTGCTGCAGCTCTGCTATCCTACTACTCAGTGTCCCAGCCAGTGTCCATTATCACCCAGTTCTGTGGGGGGGCTTCATGCCTGGCTCCCCCTTGTCTCTCTTTGAGGCCAGAGCACTTCTCCACAGACCCCTCTGCTGTGTTCTGGTTATAAGCACGCTTGCTGGTCAGACCATCGTGTTGCTCTCCAGAAATGTGGGCAATGTGGGCATGTGCGTGCCCCTCTCCAGTGAGCTGGAGCTGCGGAGGGGCAGGAGGTGGTGGCCTGGGGTCCCATCCCGCCGTCGTTGTACCCCTGCCGCCCGAGGCCAGCACTTCAGTGGACGCAAAACTTCCCGCCGCAGGTCCCGGCTGCGACACGTATAGATAACAGGGTTGAGTAACGAGTTGAGGGTGGCAAAGGCGAAGAAGTAATGGGCCTTGTAGAGGACAGGGCAGGACCGGACAGGACAGGCATAGTCCAGGAGGAGGATGCTAAAGGCAGGCAGCCAGCAGATGATGAAGACGCCCAGCACAATGGTGACTGTCTTGAGCAAGGCCAGCGTCTGCGGGCCAGCCACATCAGCATGGCTTGAGCGGACCACACAGTAGATGCGGACATACAGAGCTACAATGGCCAATAAGATGACAGAGAAGATGGTCACCACACATAGCACATAGTGCTTGGCATAGAGTGGCAGAACAGTTGAGCAGGCCTCAAGGTGGTCCAGGCAGTTCCAGCCAAGGATGGGCAGGCCACCGAGAACCAGGGAGATGAGCCAGGAGGCTGCAATGAGCAGCAGCATGCGGCAGCTCTTGTCGCTGCCGTAGAGCTTGACCTTGGCAATGGCTACATGCCGCTCGATGGCAATGGCCAGGAGGCTGAACACAGAGGCGGAGAGGGTGATGAAGGCGGAGCCCTCACGGGCAAACCACTGCACAGGTGTCAGCCCCAATGTGACATGGCCTGAGAGTAAGGTGTTGGCTATGAAGGCCACACCAGCCAGCAGGTCTGAGGCTGCCAGGTTGCCCAGGAACAGGTACATGGCCGAGTGGAACTTGCTGTTACGCCAGACTGCAATCAACACCAGCAGGTTTTCCACCACGATGGCACAGCAAAGGATGATGATGAGAATCGAGGCGACCTTGCGGGAGAGTGTCTCCTGAGTGTCCGTTGTCTCCTTGGTGTAATTATAGTGTTCCTGAACCTTGCTGGGGCTTAGATATTCCGAGTACAGGCTGCCCATGATGGGGCTCAATGGCTAGCTGGGGCCATGAGGCTGTCAGAGCTGCAGAGAGAAAAGACAGGTCAATGGTGGGCCTGCTGCCTGAGCTTTGGCTTTGGATGGCCGTGATTGGCTAGAGTCCCAGCTCTGTCACTCATTAAGTCAAACTTATCATCACCTCTGCTTTACAAGTGGGAATCCCAGAGAGGTCAATTCACTTTCCCAAAATCTAAAGTTATCAGAGGCAGAGCCAAAGAGACCAGCTCCACAGGCTCTCTAACCCCTAGGCTATGCTGTCTTTCAAAGGAACAGAAGCTACCCTGCAAGGCAATCGGGACACAAAAGCAGACTTCTGGAAGCTTTGCCTACCCCGGAGAGCAAGTCTTGAGCAGGGCCTGGAGGACTTGCCTCTTTTCTCGAATACACTGGAGCCTCCAGCTTCATTCAGCCTGTCAACCTGGGTCAGCAAGATGCTAGCCAATGATAGCACCATCCCCTACTCATTACCACCCACTTCCCCGGATTTCAGGCTGGGTCTAAGCCTTGAGGCCATGGGTGCTCCCAAGATAAGGTCTTGGGGAGACATTAGGGCGGCCCTGAGGTTCAAGCATCCCAGAGGTCATATCATCTTTAAGGACACAGACTTTGGAGGCAATCCAGCTTTCAACCCCACTCCACCTCTGACATGCTTGGACCTTGAGCAAGTCACAAAACACAGCTTCTCAACTCAATGTCCTCATGTGTGCAATGGAGAGAAGAAAGTCCATTCCACAGGAGTGATGGGGAAATCCTGTTGCATGAGGCACGCTAAGCACAAGCATTAAATAAATATTAACTAATATTTTTTGCTACCCTCTTCCTGACTCGCGCACACACAGCTCTGAACTAGGTGCCCTCCACCCAATTTCCTTGGGAGGGGATGTTGACTGAGTCTACCAGGCAAGATCCCCAACAGTCTGTTCTGGTCAGCACAATCTAGCCCTACCCGGGGACAGAGGGTCCCATGGGGGTGGGCAGGGCGCTGGCACCCCTCTTCCCAGGCAGGATGAAATCCAGATGTGAGGCCCCTGGAACAAATAGGGTGGAGTCTTCACTCGCCTCTCCAGTCACATCCTGTGTGGGAAGGCTAGGAGGGGGTGATGGGGTGGGGGAGCCATAGGAGACAGTCTGGGAGGTCCTGGCTGGGAGGACCACGCAGCTGCGCTGAAGTCATGTGAGTGGTGAGGGGGCGTGCAGCCCAGCAGCATGGGGAGATGCAGGGAGGGGAGATGGTATTTGTTTCCATGAAAGCCTGAGTCACCCCCCTTCTCAAGGAAAACTGAGCCGTGGGGGGAGGGGGTGGGAAGAGATGCGTGGGCAGAGGATCAGAGGCCTACATTATGGCCTCCCCCCAGCTTGGGAGTGTGGGGGTGGGTCGTAAGGAACTGGTGCAGTGTGTCTGCCTTTCATGAGGGTTGTCCAGCCGATAGCTAAATGGGGGAGGGGGCTCAGGAAGTGGCCGGTCCAGGGCCCTAGAAACAGGCCTGGCAAGAACCACATGCATGCCAGGAACACATTTTCAGAAAAGGCTGGTTAGGCCGGTTCCTAGTAAACCTGGGAATAATGGGGGGCTTCCAGGGTTACCCAGTCATCTCAGTTCCTGGACGCCCCCACAGAGGGGCACCGTGGTACTCAGCCTGACAGAAGCAGCTGGTCCCCCTGGGCGAAGGGACATCCGTCCTAGTTTGGGAACAGAGAAGAGCTTGTGAACGTCTGCGGGGACTGTTGCCCCGCCCAGATCACCACACAGAGGCCCCTTGTTCCCCAGCCGGACAGGGCCCCGGGCACCCGATGCCCTCTGCTGGGTCGGGGAGTGGGGCTTGGCCCATGCCTCGCTCGCTGGGCCTTAACACACTGGCTGTCTGGCCAGGAGAACCGCAATTGGCTCATTTATAATACCAGGGCACTGAGCGATTTGTCTATTGGTGTGGGCTTTCACTCCTTGGCATTTGATTGGCCCAGTTGGGGGCGCTCTACAACTCGCGCTTTTGCTCTGGTCCTTTCAGGCAGCTGCAGCACATAGCGGTTAAGGCTGTGTGGTTGTCTCCTTGGAGAGTCTGAACCGTGGCCTGACCGCTGGGTCACCCCGACCAGATGCGCCCCCCCCCCCACACACACACACGGGCCGTCCTGGTCTACTAAGCCCTTTCTGGGATTCATAATTGAGAATCGAGGACCCGTCGCAGGTCTGGGAAGCACACTTGCCAGTGGACAAGAAACCCTGGGTGTGTCTCGTGGTAAGCTCTGTCCCCACCTCCCATCATGTGAGGTAACCATCTCTCTCCAGTCAGGTGGCCAAAAGAAAGATATATGGCAGCTTCCTAGAGAAATAAGAAGTGAGTTCAGCCCTTGCACCTCAGGGAGTGACCAAAACATCTGTCTTCTTAAAGGGATGTGAGGTGAGAAGACTGGACTCAATCCTCCTCACTTTCTGCAAACCCAGCAGGTTGTCAAGACATCCTCAGAAGGAAGAGAAGAGGGAAACTGAGGCCCCCCACTAGAACTTTGATAAATCAGGAGCTTAAAGCCCTCTATCCTTTGCTGAAAGAGGAAAAGGGCCCAGAGGTTGAACTGGCAAAAGAGTCACCCTCTAGAGAGATATAGTCCTCCCTGTATCAGGCTCCTGGCTAAACACAGACCCTGTCTCCTATTCACCCTTGTGAAGGCTGTCCTGACCTTTTCCCAGAGATTCAGGAGGACACAAGGCTCAGAACAGCCTGAAATGGACCAAGTGGTACTAGTGACAGGGTTTGGAGGGAAAGGAAAGACATAACAAGACTGCTGAGTGAGAGATTAGGAGAAAGGAAGATGCCCTTCCCCAAAGTTCTGTGCCTTAGATGAATCCTTCCCCCAGTCCCAGCCATCAGGTTTCCCCTATACTGCCACCTCTACAAAGCCAAAGGGAGCTTTTTTTAAAAAAGATTTATTTATTTATACAAGCACTGGGTACAGTCAGAAGCAAGGGAGGGTGAGAGAATTCACCAGAGTCAGAGCGGGGAGCAGAGCAGGCAGACTGATGAAGTACACTGCTGAGGGGAGCAGCAGGTGGCAGGAGAGGTCTGCGCGCCATGTGGGACCCTCACCCAGCAGCCGGGGATCGAACCGGCACTGTAGAGGCTGCAGGCAGCTTCTCAACCCAGCGCTCAACCGCTGCACCACCAGGGAGCCCCACCAAAGAGAGCTTTTTATTTTGTCATTTCTCAGCTCCAAATTCTCCCACAGCTGGCCACTGTTGAAAATGGCCTGGCCCTGCCCACCTAGCCTTGCTTTGGGGGAGGGGGCTCAGGAAGTGAGCCTCCTCTTACCATGCCGTCCACTCCAATCACACTGCTTTCCTGTATGACACCCCCATGCCTACCTCAGAATCATTGCCCCGACTGTTCCTCCACCTGGTATTTCCTTCCCCCTATGCTTGAACGACTGTCTACTCACCTTTCAGGTTTCAGTTTAAAGATCACTTTCTCAAAGGAGACTCCTGACCACCAGACTATAGTAGCCACATTCCCCAAGCCCTCTCTATCACAGCATCTCACTTTATGATCCTCACAGCACTTGCCAATTATGGAAATTATGATTGTATTTCTTGTTTTCTGTCTGGTTTCCTCAGTAAATGTGACTTCATCGGAGGTCAACAATGTAGTGCGTTTTCATTTGCTGGAATGATGCCTGGCTTACTGAAGGTGCTCAGAAAGACATGTGGCGTGGGATGAATGGATGGATGAATGAATTTGGATCAAAAGAAGATCCAGTGGGCCCCTAAGGGTGGAAGCTCTTAAATTCAACCCAAACAACAGCAAAGGAGGCTGGAGACACCTCTGCTCAGTTGGCAGTCCTCCCCCTTGTGAGAAACCCAGCTTGTCTTCCTGGAGACTTGAGACAGCGACAGCACCGCCCCCGCCCTTGGACAGCACTCCCGGCCTCCTTATCTGGCCCTGGAATGCGCGGTATCCACACTAACTCCCGCTGCAGCCTCGCCTCCTCTCTCCCACGCCAGCCACGCGCGTGAGACCCCCACATCTGCAATGTGGAGGCGGGGACTTCTCTCACTCCAGCCTGGGACCCTGCCTCTATACTCCAGGAAGACTGAGCAAGGAGGCGTCTCAGCAGCAGCCGCCGCACCACGAATACCACACCCGCGTCAAGCCACGCGGGGGATCAAGGGCTCAACGCGCTCGCCTAGAGCATCTGACTAGGGCAGAGTCGGGGAAGGGGTGGAAATCCCCGGTGAGTCAACTCGTGCCGGAGGAGGGGGCGAGGTCCCGATGCCCTCCAGGGCCGGGGACTACAGGGGGGTCTGTAGCCCCCGGCTTCCATCCCCGGGCCCCAAGAGGGAAGAGGCACAGGAACGACGCAGTCACGTTCCCTTTTCGCCCAGAACATAGCCACGCTCCCGGGGAGAGGAACTGGAAGATATTAACTACCCGGGGAAACTGAGGCAGGGTCAGACGTGCAGGCAGTGGGCTACAGTCCAACCCAGGGTCCCGCCCCTTGGCTCGGGGATTCGATGGCGCTCAACAGCTTTTGCTCCCACTAGGCTAGAGTCAGTCAGGAGGGGCGCCTTACCCCCCTGTACACACACTCCCCAAACCCCTGGTCCCGAGCAAGCCGTTCTGCCTCCCAGTCTCAGTCTCCGACAGAAAGCACTTGGATTCCGCCTTCTCGGCACCAACTTCCTGGGGGTGGGGAAGACGCTGAGAGCAGTCTAGGGGCTAAAGGCCAAGGCAGTGGGGACCGCCTCGAGTCGTGCCCAGGGTGCAGGGTGACCACTCCCTCCGTGAAGCAAGAGCACCGGCGGCGCGTGCGCGCCCCAGTGTGACACCGACCCCCAGCCGGGCCCCACAGCACGGATCCTGCGACCTCAAGGGACAAGCTCCTGCCCTTTCTGCCTCCCCCTCGCCACGCACGCTCACCTGGCTGGGCCGGCCCGGATCCTTGCCCTGGCCGGAGGGGTTTTGGCGTCTAAGTCCCCGGGACAGCCGCGGCTGGGGCTGCCCGCCCGGCTCCGCTGCGTCCCGGGGGCTGGGGACCCGAACGGATGGGAGGCGATAGAGGCACCGCCTCGGCCCCCCACTGGCCCCGCCCTCCTCTCCTCCCCTTTCCGGCGGCGGCAGGAATGAATTCCAGATGTGGCCGGCCGAGGCGCGCGGGGGCTGTTGAGGGAGGTGCGCAGGGTCCCTTTGTCCGCACCCCCACCTCCTGCCCAGCCCCTCCCAGCCCCCACCCGTGAGAACCAGCGCGCATGATGTCACGCAATGCCGTCACATTACGTCGCTCCTGACCAGGTGGCCTCAACCTGAAACAACTTGTCTTCAATTCCAGATATTCTCTTGGCCCATCCTTGGGACCCTGGAAGTGGAGAAGGCGGGATCCCCTTTATTTACTAAAAGAGGAGCCATGAAGTACCACTATGTGTCAACCCAGCAAATAGACATTAAGTGTGTGTGTGTCCATCCAACAAATAATCAATTTTCTACTCTGTGCCACCCCCTATGCCAAAAAAAATTGGGGGAGGTTGTTTTTTGCCTTGATGAGAATGCAGAATTGCTGCGTGGACTTCTCTCCATTGGCAGACTGGAAGCACCCAACAACCAACCCTGCCGGTGTCTATCGTAGTCCCACCCTCATTGGGGTCAACCAGGAGCCCAGGTTGCTCTCTGCCTTCCAAATTGAGGCCCCATCTTTATCTAGCTCTTTAGTCTCCCTTTCCTCACTTAGCTTTTCCTGGGTATCCCTGCGAACGGAGATGAAGTGCAACTTCATATATGATGCTTATGTCTGTGTGTGTGTGTGTGTGTGTGTGTGTCCACATCAGTCCCTAAAGGTTGTGATAGGAGAGCCTCTCATTTCTTCAACAAATGTTTTTGGTGCACCTAACAGGCACATCAGTGAACAAAACGGGGGTGGGGAGGTGGAAAAGGGGGGAGTCCTTGTTTTAATGGAACTTAAATTCAGGTGGGAGAGACAGACTTAGGTAGAAAGGTACTATTTGTGAAAACATGCAGGTATTCTGCTTATACCTTTATTGACCAACTACATTAAGCATCTGTCATGTGCAGGACACTATCCTAAAAGTTGGAGGTGTATCAGGGAACAAAACAGACAAAACTCCCTGGGTGGTGAAGCTGATTTTCTAGTATGTGTCCAGACTATACAGAATATTGCAGGAATGAAAAATTGATAAAATTCCTGGGAGAGGAACTGAAAGATAGGAAACAGCCTTTGTAATGTGCATACTGTCTCTATTTTAACAATAAATTAAATTTTAAAATTAAGGCTGCTTGATACCCAGACAGTGGAATAATAAAGAGGCTAGGTTAGGCTTATGCTTCTGTATGTGTAGTATACTTTAGTAAATAGTGTTGAAAAGCAAATTGATAAAAAAGAGGATCTGCACCCCATACTCGTGGTAACATTATTCACAATAGCCAAGAATGGAAACAACCAAAGTGTCTATCATTGGATGAATGGATCAAGAAGATGTGATGTGTGTGTATTTCTGTTACTATATATGTATTTCCATCACTTATATATTCATTCACACACACACACACACACACACACACACACTGGAATACCATTCAGCCAGAAGAAAGAAGAAAATTCTGTCACTTGTGACAAGGATTAAACTTGAAGGCATTATGCTAAGTGAAATAAATCAGACAGAGAAAGACAAATAGTGTATGGTATCACTTACATGTGGAATAATTTTTAAAAAGAACAAAATTTAAAATCCTAACTGAGAGTAAGAAAGTGGTTGCCAGGGGTTAGAGAGCTGGAGTGGGTGCAATAGGCAAAGAGATAAACTTTCAGCTATAAGATGAATGAGATCTGAGACACAAATGTAAAACATCATGACCAAAGTTGATAATACTGTGTGGTATAATTGAAAGTTTCCAAGAGAGTAGAACTGAAATGTTCTCACACACAGAGATGAATACATGTGAGGTGATGGATTTCTTAATTAACATGATGAGGGAATCCTTTTACAACATATACATATATTAAATCACCACAATGTACACTTTAAATATTTTATACTTTTATATGTCAATTATACTTAAATTAAGGCTACTTGATACACAGACAGTGTAATCAATAAAAGGAAAGAAGAGGTTTGGTGCTTGCTTCTACATGTATTTCATAGTAAAGAATGTTGAAAAACAAAACCGTAAGAAAGGAAATTTTAGAAGCATTCTCTTGCCCATATTAAAAAGTAAAAAAGGATTAGTCTTGAATTGATGTGAAATTGTCTTAAGTTGAGAAAATGACAATGTAGACCAGTTTGCATTGCTTTTCATTTCTGGGTATATTTAGAAGGGCTGTATAAATATGTACACATTTGCCTGTGGACTCACAGGCCATCTGTGGCACAAGAAGAAGGCACAAGACACTGGTCACAGCGGTTACCCTCAAGGAGGGGAATTTGGTGGCGGGGAAACAGGTGGAAGAAGGCCAGACTTTTCATGGTGGGCACTGGGGGACTGTTTGCAATTTACAAAAGATGTAAAAAATCAAATAAGAGGTAACAAATCACCAGATTTCTAGTCATAAAACAATACTTATAGTAGTAGTAGTAATAATAATATCAATGATATAAATAACCAATAACATTGTTCATATCAATGTTATTCAACATTTTGTTATTAACAAATACATACTATTAAATACTTAAGTTATTAATAAAAGCATATTAAAATAAATATGTTTGCAGTATAAAATTCCATATAATGCAACATACAATACTCTGCCTTAGCTCTGATGATACCCACTGCCATCCAAAGGTACAGTTCAATGGAGGAGACCCAGACCAAGAAGAAACCAGACAGTTTTACCACAAGGTAGTAGGACTTTGATGTAGAGATAAGAGGTCAGATCTTGACTTCACTCCTTTCCCTCAGCCAGATTTCAGAGTCTGCTGAATTCTGGGCCAGATCTTGGGTTCCACTCAGATCTCTGTGAAACCTCCCTGCCAAGTAAACTGGGTTGCCTGGACAAATTCTAGAAACCAGGTGTTCAACCCACAGGGGAAAACGTACAAAGAAAACTAGGTCCTCACAGTCAAAAAACTACAGGAGCGGAAACCTCCGCCCTCTGTAGGGACCTGAAGGCTGGGGAGGAAGTGCCCCCCCAACTTGCCTAGGCTGGCTCAGCAGTTTGCCATCCTCCAGGGACCTGGGGGAGGGGATGATGTCAAGGCCACAGATATATCCGGCTCTGTTGGTTGTCTATGTCTCTTAGACAAAGGTGATGTCCCCAAGGACACACATATACCAAGAGGCAATTCCACCTCCCCCACCCCACCCTCTACTTCTGGTACAACAAGAGGTCTCCACTGGGTCAGCTGAGGGAACAGGCTGGAGACTGGAAAACTCTGGAGGTTTACAATTCCTGACAGTCTTGAGGGAAGCGAAGAGGAAAGTCGGACCTTGTCCTGGGGGACCCATTTAAAGAGTGGAAGAGGAAGGAAACAGGGTCTTTTTCTTGAGGAGCTCCCAGGCAGGGGAAAAAAGAGGAAAAGGAAAAGGCTTGGACCAACCTCCACTAATTATAGGGCCACCAACAATAATGACTAACACTTACAGGACACAGGCAGACTGTGTTGGGTGTGTCTCAATGAATCCTCACAACCCTAGGAAGTGGGTATTATTGTTATTATCATCTCATTTTTTAAAAATAGACTTTATTTTTTAGAACAGCTTTAGGCTTATAGCAAAATTGAGTGGAAAGCTCAGAGATTTCCCATATATCTCTCAACACCACACATGTACAGCCTCCTCCATTATCCACATCCTTCTCCACCCAAGTGTCTTTTGACACAATTCATGAACCTAGCTTGATACATCATTATCACCAGTCCATAGTTTATGTTGGCATTATACATTCTATGCATTTGGACAAATGTATGACATGCATCTACCTATATACCCCCTTCCTGCCCCCAACACCTAGCAACCATGGAGTTTTTCACTGTCTCCATAGTTTTGCCTTTTCTTCCTCATAGCATTTTAAAGTGAAGAAACTGACGCACACAGTACTGAAGAATTTCTTTTTTTTTTTTAAAGATTTATTTATTTAGGGCCTCCCTGGTGGCGCAGGCAGTTGAGCACCGCACTGTGAAGCTGTCCACAGCCTCTGCAGCGCTGGTTCGATCCCAGCCGGCCGGCGAGAATCCCACATGGCAAAGCAGACCTCTCCTGTCTCGCCCACTGCTCCCCTCAGCAGTGTATTTCTTCAGTCTGCCTGTTCTGTTCCCCACTCTGTCTCTGGTGAATCCTCTCACCCTCCTGTGCATCTGGCCTGTACCCCGGTTCTTGTATAAAAGTAAATAAATCTTAAAGAAAAAAAGATTTATATAAAAAAAGATTCATTTATTTATTTATACAAGAACCGGGGTACTTGTGAGATTTGCGGGAGGGTGAAAGGATTCACCAGAGACAAAGTGGGGAACAGAACAGGTCAACTGATGAAATACACTGCTGAGAGAAGGAGTGAGCGAGACAGGAGAGGTCTGCCAGCCTGCCAGGATCAAACTGGTGCTGCAGAGGCTGCGGACAGCTTCACAGAGCTGCACTCAATCGCCTGCGCCACCAGGGGAGGCCCAGTACTGAAGAATTTCAACTACAGTTCTCTATCGTCTTTTTCATCCTGAGTCCTCATCCCTGTCCCAAGGTAGTGACCACCACCACCTCTCCCCCGCCCCCACCTCTGACCCAGATCTCGGGGCAAAGAACAGTGTTTACCATGCAGGACCACATCAGCCAATGGTGCAATAATCCAGAAGACAGGGGAACCCTCTGGCCTCGATCCCACTCCCCACTGCCCCAAATATTGTGAATTTCCCCAATCAGTGAGCCCCAGGCTATCCTCCTTGGGCCTCTGCTGTTGTTTCACGCACCCACCCCCACCCACTCCCTGCGCCAGCTCTATGCTTTTGGCAGGAGGAATTACATAAAGAGAAGTGTCTGAGACAGGCCTCAACTTTCTCATCACTACTCTGGCACTGGCGGAAGGGGCCCCAGGCTTCAGAGAAGCTTTCCAGAT